CTGTGCTTGAGATCTTGGTGACGCCGCTATGACCTGAATTCCGCCAGCAGACTCAATAATATTCTTTGCATTTGTCAGATGGTTCCGCCAGGGTCCCACTGCGGATACCAGAAGCTGTGATATGTATTAACAACCAATAGACGGTATGCAAGATGCGCTTTGTAGAGCCATACCTCAAGTGTGCACAAAATCAGTGTGGTATCGAGAAAAGCCAGCATCTGTTTGCTCCTCCCCTCTTTGAGTGCAGACTTGTATAATGTAACAGCAGATTCTTTATACGATTTAGCTTGCTGTACAATAGGGTCATCTTCGGATGCTTCATTCATATGGCTGATATGTTGCATTGAGTAAGCTAAGATAGCATGTAAAAGGTATTGGGATCCACTAGAGGTAGACTGCCGGCATCGAAATGGGTTGGCATTGATATCGAACGTTAGCGGAGTATAACATAGTTCGGTATCATCTTAAAAAGTATTAGCTCAAACCCAGACTTGAATAAAATCTTCGGGATCATACACATGTTGAGCAACCCGTCTATTTGTGACGCTGGAGGGTATGAAATCAGTGGTTTGGTATTACCCATCAAAGAAGAGTCAATGTGAGTCCTGTCAGGACTTTCCAGGGCAGGTAGTTCATCGATCTCGTCAAAGATAGACCATATCGGAGCCTCACTTGACAGAGACGCTTCCGGAAAGTCAAATGTTTCTCCAAAATTCCATGATAAACTATGGCCCACACCACTGCACGGCAAAGACTCGCCAACTAAGGTATTAAGTAGTTGAGGACTGTCTGCTTCTGGAATTGAATGTGTCGTAACATCCCAATCGTGATCGGCAACTTTGTCTAGAGTCTTGTTGAATGATCTCGATTTGCTAGCGACTGGCTCTAGCGTAATGGCCGATTCTCTGCTCATTTCAGCTTGACATGGCAACAGAGCGAAGGTCTGGATTGTCTCTGATGGACTCGATTGAGGCGTGTTCTGTGTGATCTTTCTCTTTCTCTGTGGCCTTCCTTCCTTAAACCTGAAATGGTGCAGGTGACTGGGCTTCGAGCTCAGAGAGGTTGAAGGATCGTTCCTGTTGTTGTACGTTTTATCTTTCATCTTACCACGAGATGCAATCCCAAGTTGCCACTGAAAATTCCGAGGGTAGCCTTGGCATATCTCCATTGTCTCGGAGCATGTATCACATCTGTGGAGTGCTCGATCGCAGTGTCGACGGTATTTCGCACAGTTGAAACAGTCTGCCTTTTCTTTTCGGAAGGAGCCTTCCATTGATGTTTGCACTTGGTGTTTCTGCATTATCGAGACATAGAGTGCTAGCTGTGAAAAGAGGTTTGGAAGAAGCGGCACACGACGATCTCACCGTTGGCGTTCGGATCCTACCAGGTTCAAAAAAGACACTTTTAGCCTTATCAGGACTATCCACTTCGATACATAGCTCCAGATGCCCCCGCACTGAGTCTCAGATATCTCCCTCACAACGGATCACCAGCAGAAGGATGACATAATATGTTTCTTGGAAAGATGCAACCCTTTAGTCTCTTTTAGCGTCAGGGCGATACCAAAAACAGCCCCTCCCCTATCTAAGGTATAGTACGAAGCCGCACATTCGCACGGACCAAATCCCAGACCGTTTTGATAAGTGACTTTATCTCCTTCGGCGAATGACTACCAATCAGGTGGACCGTTTTACAATCTCTACGATGAGAGTAGAGGGACAAATTCATTGCTTCTCCACGAATCCTCCCTCCGGAGTCTAGCATGTCAACCTTATCCGATCGGCCCGCTTGCCTCAGTCTTCCAAGATAGCCTCCGCCTGGATCTCGCATATCATTCCTTGCATGCAAAGGCTACTAGACCCAACACAGGTCCAAGTTGGCCTACGATTTGGGTACCGAGATCTCCAAATCTCCATCATAAGAGGCTCATATCTAGTGTCGAGGAAGAAGCTTAATATCTTGTGTGCCGAGGCAAGGCCTTGAGCAACACCGGCAGCTTTGAGCGCTGCGTCGCAACAATCAAAAGCTGCACCGATTTGGTCGGCCGGAGAAGATTCAACCAGCTTTCCTGTAACAAGGTCGACACCTGCTTGGCCAGCAGTCACGGCGATACGTGCATTGGCGGGAAGGACAGTGGCGTTGCTGAAGCCGTGCTTCTGGCATGACTCTCCAACGGAGCCGGCGTACTGGAAAAAGGCTGCCATATCGAGACTGATCGTGGGCGCGACTAATTGGCTTGAAGGATGTAAATGTAGGCGACTAATCATTGACTATTGTGTTATTGACAACCGCACATATCTCTGCAGAAAGCCTCTTATAGTGAATGGCTGGTACACAACAGAGGCATCCTTGCGGAGCTCTTCATAGCACAGCCACAGTGTAGATACTGTATGCCTTTCTTTCATAAACACTGATTTAGTCTTATCATTCATTGACCTATTCTGTCAGTAACGTAATGCCTCATTCGGCATATCGCGAATTCTCGCTGCTCGGTCGGCTCTTAAAGTGCCATATTTGAATAGAGACCCACCCGTCCTGTCATTATCCTAACTAGGGAATTTCCTTATCGTTTATCTGCCCCACTGCCAATCACAGCTCGCTGTGGGGCAGTCTGTACCAGCAAAGGATGGATTTGTTTCAAGATCTAACATGAAGGTTGAGGGATAAAGCCCTAGCCTAGGACGTGAGTTGACGGAAGGAAGGGAGCGATCAAGGAGTCTCAGAAATTGTCATCACCTCAATCCAAACGGAAGACAAGTAAAGATTACGATGCTTGGGAGTGACATCGAAGATGGGCAGGCCCCGGTGGCTGTCGATGTGAAGGGCAGTTATGAGGTCAGTTTCGCATCTATCCGATATTCTGACAACATTACCTAACATGTTGATGCTATGTAGCTCCCTCGACCTTATACGGTTTTCGGATTGAAGCTTTGGGCATATAGTCATCCTCGAGTTCAGGCGATCATGCTTGGATGTGTATTATTTATGACCGTTGGGGTAAGCAAATTCACCAGTTGTAGCTATGTTTTGAGCGGAAAGTGCTCTTAGGAGACAACTCCTATACCTGGTCTTCGACTGTTCAAGTAAAGCGATTGCTGAAACTATGTAATAGATGTACAACGTGATAACGTTCATTGGAGGAGCTGGGCAACAGACCGCCTGGTTGTCTGATATTGCCAATATCGCACTTTACACTGTATTTACGGTCTTCTGCCTCATTGCACCGGCGTGTCTCAACTTTTTCGGGCTTCGCACTACGCTATGTTTCGGTGGCTTTGGATATGCTGCGTATGCAGCAAGTTTATGGTGCTACAATCATACTGGAAATGTCCCATTCGTTATTTTCGGTGGTTGTTGGTGTGGCCTATCAGCTGCATTTCTATGGACGGCAGAGGGAACCGCGATTACTGCATTCGCCTCGGAGGAGAAGAAGGGCCTTTACGTGTCCATATTCTGGTCAATCTTCCAGTTCGGTGTCGTCATTGGCGCGGCAATCCCGGTGGGACAAAATTGGAACACGGGCGTCAACAATGACAGCCGTGTGAATGACGGAACCTATATTGGTCTGTTCATTCTGATGCTGTGCGGCGCATTCTTGGGGCTAGCGATGTATCCATGGCACAAGATTGTTCGCGAAGACGGCTCTCTTGTCATGATGAAGCGACGTAAAACATTTCGTGAAGAACTCGCTACGTCTGCTGCAGTTTGCCGACGCAATTGGTGGATCATCTTCTTCTGGCCTATGTGCTGGGCCGTCAACTACTATGTTGTCTACCAGAACAACGACTTCAACGGAATCTACTTTACAGTGCGCGGCAGAGCTCTCAACACCTTCCTCTCGGGAGTTGTTCAGATTCCCGCAGCTTGGATTCTCAACATTTTCACCGACAAACTTCCCTTTGGTCGACGGAAGCGAGCCTTCTGGGCTCTAGTCTATGTATTTGTTGCTTTCAATGCGGTCTGGATAGGTGGATACTGGGTGATGAAAGATACGAGGCACGGACTAACTGAGGAAGAGCGAGTTGATGTATTCGATTCTGGTTACGGAGCATCAGCCTTTTTATTCGTGATGTACGGCTTCATGGACGCGACATATAATTGCTACGCTTATTGGTTTATTGGCGCATTGAGCAACAAGCCGGAAGAGGTATGAGTTCCGTGAATCAATATCTCTATTGCTTCTTGGTGCTGATCTGAAGCTAGCTTTCTGTCTATGCCGCTATGTATCGCCTCCTGAACGCAGCTTGCCAGATTTGTGCCTACTCCCTGGATCTCCAAGGTTACTCTAAGGAATTTATGTACGGCACTTCGTGGGCGGTAAGTCACGTACCCTTTTATCAAGGTTTAACCTCTTATCTAATTTTCTTAAAGTTTGTGTCCGCAGGCCCTATATTCGTTCTTCCAATCATCAAGTACTGGCTCAAGGATACCAACATGGTACAAAGTGTTGAAGCAATTGAAGGAAGTGAGATATCGGAAACGAAAGTTGCGGCCGAGGTTCCAGAGACGAAGAAGACAGCCGACGTGGCTCAACAACCCAGCTAGATCATCAAGCCGTACAGCAGCCAAAAGACAGTGTTTACTTCTAGACAGGTAATGAAGCGACTAAGAATGAAAGTGAATTTATCAATATTCTACACCATGATCAGCTAAGGTCGTGGCAACGTATATTTGGTGACTTGGTAAAACACGCTATCTATCCCTCCGCCTGTGTAACGATGTTAGTTTAGCCAAAACAACAAAATATTTTCGACAACGGTTTTCAGCTATAAATCTATTTAAAGAATGTGAACAGATATTACAAAAAGACAGCCCTAATGACTCCTCCAAAAGTATAAAAGCCAAGAATACGGAGGTATGATGTACAGGGAAATTCTCTAGTCAGGAAACGCTCTCCTCCAGGCACTTGGTAAATAAAAAATCAACAATCAACGAAACAGCCCGAAAGTTTGACCTATGAAAATTCGGAACTGTCTCAGGTATGTATCTTGAGAACTATATCAGAGGTAAGGATTGACTTGTGCCTCGGTCCAATCCCAAAACTGTCGTGCGAGTTCCGTACCACCCTCGGCCGTGGTCTTGGAAGCATTAACCAGAACCTTGGTCAGTGTCCAAAATCTACCCCACGGTGCAACTGCGTCAACATTAGCTTGGAAAAGTTCAAGGATAAGGTCAGTTCAATGCTCACTGAAACTTCCTGTCTTCTCTATTGTCACATCAGGTGAGAAGGCGGCAAATAAATTTGTATATGCTCCAAAAATTGGTGCGTATAGAACGGTGTGGCGGAGGATCCAGGTCACAATTCTTCCCTGCGTGCGCCAAAAGTCCGAGTCAAGGTTTCCCGGGTTCAACGAGACGGAGATGATGCCGTCGGCTTTGTGGCGAGCCGCAAACTCGGTAGAGTGGAAATAATTACCAATCTTGCTGGTACAGTATTTATTGAAAGATGATTGATCCTTGTGATAGTCCAGATTGTCCATGAAGTTGCTGGGGCTAGTGCCTTCGGCGGCCGATGATGAAGCCCACACAACACGAACAGAATTTGATTGAAAGGTCTTAGCGGTAGTGATGAGAACCGGCGTCAAGAGTCGGGTAAACAAAAACGGACCAACACAGTTCACTCCGAGCTGGAGCTCATAGCCTTGTTTCGTTTTGGAACCTTGTTTTGGGTAACCAACACCGGCGTTATTGAAAAGGACATGGAGCTTCGTCTCCTTCTCAAGAAACTCCTGGGCAGAGGCTTTGATGGTCGTGAGATCGGCAAGATCGAGGCGGAGGTAGATCAACTCTCCAGATGAATTAGGAACTGTCGCCTTGATGCTCTCAATAGCCTCCAAAGTCTTCTCCTCTGATCGTGCTGCAAGATAAACCTTGGCATTCTTGGCGTAAAGAATCTGAGTGACCTCCTTGCCAACACCACTATTTGCGCCAGTTACGATGCAGACCTGATATGTATACGTTAATATCTGTTGTCGATAACGCAATGGTTCAATGACAAGAAGAAATCGACTGGATAGCAAACAGACTTACCTTGCCATGCAAATCCGGGACATTTTGGTCTGTAAATTTTGGTTTCGGAGGAAATGCTTGGACAATGGAGCTCACTAAACCAGCCATTTCGACGAAGGGCTCTGGTGGTGGATATATGAAAGTCCTCAAAAAACTAATAAATGTACAAGATTAGACTGTATAATAGTTGAATGCTATTATGATGCTCTGCTGTCTTGCTGGGCTTCTGATTTCCTTGGAACGCTGGCTCTGGAAGCCAATATATAAGATTGTTTAAAGTCATGGCTGAATCTCCCGCGGGAGTTGATTTGCACCAAGAACATGCTTCGACTCGCATCGGTCGTATCGTCGGTGATATGAATGAGTTTCGAGACATATCGGTTGTGTTGTCGGTGATATCAAGGCGTCATAAACGGTCTATCGAGACGACGGTCGGGTCGAGATTCCACCGGCGTGGCAGGTTGTTATATCTGGAGTAAGCACATCCCGCGGGATTAGCTGGTTTGCAAGCGAGCGGTGGGGTGTGCCTATCAGGCTTGCTCGAGACACTTTGCCCGCTCGAGTTAGCTTGAATGCAGCTGATAGTATGATTTGTCGACTGTGCCGCACTGGAATTTCCGAATCCCTCGTGATACACGAAACCCGTGTGTAGAGCCTCCAGCTGGAATTGAAACTTGCACACCATCTTCTCGCTGCAACGGAGAGACTCTACCCCTGCGAACCATCAGACTGAAACTCCGTTTCGGCCTCTCCAAGCGACTCAGATGCGTTAACGGTCCATGCTATTGGCTGGCTTATCGCTAGATAGCAGGCCTCCTCGTATTGAAGGCTAAATTAGAGGCCGAACTGCAATATGGAGACATGCAACCCTGCGCCATATGGACAAGCATGTGCTGGGTGTTCTCGTGCCAAATGCAAGTGCTTCTACCGTTCTGAAGGGCCTGGATGTGAACGGTGAGATATTCCCTACTCTGTTGGATGGCCTGCTCCAGGGCATCTACTTCAGCACACAAATGCCATTGTCTCTAGAATTCGTCTGATATATTGACGGGATGAAGGTGTCATCGACTCGGAAAGACTTGCGAGCCAGCGGTCGCTATCCGCAAGCGTAAAGTCCGGGACCATGAACGACAACCTCCGGCACCACAGTTAGCTCCTGCCAGTCGGCTCGAGGAAAAGCTTGATGATTTAGTTTCCCTTCTACGGTCTCAGGCTGTTGATAAGCAAGCGCAACATCGGGAAGCAACGCATCCCCCGTCTACAGAGAACAACACCCCATCTACTCTGAGCACTCTTGTTGACTCTGCTCAGTCCATCTCCTTAACCCCAACACGCTACCCAGAAGTCGAAATCGACACTAGCAACAACGCGGTCCTTTGTTCTCGTCCTGGTGAGGATCCCGACGACTCCCAGTCGGGCGCGACGTCATCTTTGCTAGCTGTCTTCGATGATGTCTCCCGCCATCACATTCCAGAACTCATTGCAGAGGAACAACTTGCAACGTTCCGTCGTGCCTTCATCTCGGAATTTCCATTCGTGCACATTCCACCTACGATTAGTGCAGCGGAGCTCCGCCAGCGACGACCTTTCCTATGGCTTGTCATAATGTCTTTAACTACTAGATTAGTATCAGAGCAATTTGCGATGGAAGAGACTATCTGGAAAGTCATATCACATAGGACCGTGACTCAACACTTGGCAAACCTGGATCTTCTGCTTGGGGTCATATGTTTTGGGTCCTGGTATGTGGCCTCCCATAGTCTAGCAATCATTTGTTGTAGTCGCTCCTTTCCTAAACTGGCGTTATCCTAGGTCCCATTACTTCAAACAAGACAAGCCTTTCATGACAACTCTTGCTCAACTAGCCGTCTCGCTAGCACTCGAGCTTGATCTACAGAAAGATATAACTACGACAGTGGTCCGGCGACGCAAGTCCGGTTGGCTTGTCCCACATCCTCCGAAGCAACGCGTACGGACCATTGAAGAACGACGTACCTTCCTCGCTGTATTTCACCTAACCTCCTCGTCAGTATTCCATCTCTACTTTTCCTGAATCAGCGAAGCCTCGGATCATCTTACTAACATGACGAGGCTAATAGCACCTGGACAGCGTATAGGAAAACGGAGCCCCTCCGTTGGACATCATATATGGATGACTGCATTCGCATTCTGAGTGAAGGCCAAGAGACTCAACTTGATATACTCCTAGCTACGCAGGTCAAGTGTCATGTAATCACAAACCAAGTGACATGTTCCTGTACAGAAGATTCCGCTGAAGGCGAAAATTCAAAGGCCCCATCCACTGCGTTATTCACGGCCATGCTTAGCCAACTTAATGTCATTCGGAAGAGCCTCCCAGACCGATTCCGCTCAGAAAGTAAGATTGAACACTCTTCGCTCATCCGTAATCTTCAGTGACTCATTTCGTTCGATAGGGACAACTCAATTTTACCTGCATAGCACAGAGCTCATCATCAGGGAATATTATCTCAGCAGACCGAAAACCCCACACCTGACAGCCTCCTCATCCTTTCAAAGGATACAAGACTTGGAATCAGTCCTGGTTTGTGTCGAGCGCTGGCTAGATCTCTTTTTCGACATGCCTACAATTGACTGGCCCGGTATCACTGTCGATACATTTTCTCAGTTCACACATTGCCTCGTGGCGCTCTTCAAACTCAATACTCTCAATGAGGAGGGCTGGGACCTGCAGGAAATCAAGAGGCGTGCAAACGTATTTACGGTCTTGGATCGAGTCTGCGAAAGGATCGACCAGATACCGGGATTATTAGGCGTAGTTGATGCAGAAGGTCCGCGTAGCGGGCTATTCTTCAAGACGACGGTCCTTCTCCGAGCTATCAAGACTCTGTTCATGGGAGAGGCAGCACCGGAAGCCCAAGTGGACGCCGTACAAATGCGTGATGATGCCATGACTGGAATGATGGGTGATATCGCAAGTATGGATGATCTCTATTTGAATTTGGCAGAAGAGCCTTGGATTGCAGACATGTTCACACCGTGGGACTTTACTCCAGGAGGACAAAACGCATTCGCGCCAGATCAGCAGTTTGATACATGGCTATGACGATGTTTAGGAGCGATAACAACAACACTCGCATACTTTAGAATCCTTGCGGTTGTAAGTAGAAATAAATATAACATAAGCTAGGATACAAAGCCAACGCGACAAATATGTGCCCTAGTACTTCCGATTTCAACCGGGTTGCCATGCGTAAGCAGCAGCTTGTCATTCACATAGTTCTAGCAGCGAGCGCACTAGAAATCAGAAGGCCGTCCTTTCTTTCATGTAGCTAGAATGATGCCGAGGATCCATGTCACTAGTTGTAGAGACTCAACATGTCACGGAGCAAAAACGATGCCTTAGTGCAAAGTGCGCAATAACGGCTTATATCTCATTTGCGACACAAAAGCACTTTCGGAACACATCCGAGATCAGAGTTGCAGATATAGTTAGCGTAGGAGGATGATAACAGGGAAAGGAAGGCCCGACCTGTTATCATAATCAGGGATGCTTCCATTATGTCCGGCTCATTTCCGCGCAGTAAGACAGTCTATGATTGCTTATCATAGCTCTGCAACCATGCTTCGCTCCTTATCTAAGTCTTGAAGGTCGGTAACAATGTCTTGCTTGTTTGCAACCAAACATATGCGCGGCCTGCTTGACGGACGTGCCGACATATATACTGAGGCTTCGTCTCTCTATGGTCTACAGGGGTAAGCTTACCCATTAGCAAGGCCATGAGCAGAACAATATCAAACAACCAGCATCATGTCGACCACCTTTGTGTCAACCATCACGAGTGGTGAAGCCCATACCCCTCGATATGAGTACTACTATCGAGATAACCATAATGATAACAAACGCGAGGTGCTTTTGGATGATAGAGCTGTGGACACGTTCAATGAGATCCCGCTTGTAGACATCAGCCGCATCTATAGCGACAATCTAGCCGATCGCATGGCTGTCGCAAAAGAGATGGCAAGAGTGTGCAAGACGGTTGGGTTCATGTATATCAAAGGACATGGAATCTCACAAGACCTTATCGATGATGTGTTTGAGCTCTCACGTCGATACCACGCTCAGCCTTCTGAAATTAAAATGAAAGAATATGTATACAATAACAAGGAGCTCCGTGGATACAACGAACATTATGTCAACACACCCGAGGGACCAGTGTGTACGGCTGCCTATCATCAATTCAATGGACAGGCTAACAGATAGTAGTGCGCAAAGGGGCTTTTCTTTACAGTTATGATCCGGACAACGATCCCACTTCCCCTGAGCTAACAATTGAACAGCGGGAGAAGTGCCTAGGAACCTATAATCAATGGCCTAGCACACCATCCGGTTTCAAGGAAAAGATGCTCGTATACCAAAGGGAATTGCTACAACTTTCAAGAAATTTACTACGCTCCTTTGCCCTGGGGCTTGGAACAGAAGAGACTTACTTCGATACTTACGTAACTGCGCCATTCGTATCCATTATTTTACAACATTATCTACCCACCCATCCTGGTGCAGAAGACCCAGACAGCTTGGGAGCTCACACAGACTTTGAAAGTAAGTAATGTGTTCCATATCGGATTGATTCATGTACCTGGGTCTGACCTAGAGATTTAGCTTTTACTATTTTGAACCAAGATTCAGTTGGAGGCTTGGAGGTTTTGAATAAAAATGGTATCTATATTCCCGCTCCATATATCCCGGGAACCTTTGTTGTAAATATCGGCGACTTTCTTGAGCGTATATCAAACGACTCGTTTGTTTCCACGGTGCACCGTGTCCGCAATACCTCTGGAAAGGAACGGTACTCGATTCCATTTTTCTTCGGCTTCAATATGGACGCAAGTATTGGTGTAGGCTTCCCACTCTACTGATGTATTTGACTTGGATTGGAGCTACGATTGACAATATTGTTGCTTAGGTCTTGCCGAGCTGTACAACTGCTGAGAATCCAGCCAGATATCCTCCACGGAATCTGTATGAGGCAAGTGACCATTGATTATGCTTACTTCATAGTATCTGACACGCAACAGTATATGGCGAACAAGCTTTCGAAGCAGAAGGAGCATCATGAAAAGCCAGGTCTTGATGAACCACTGGCTTGAATGGCTTAGTCATGAGAAAGCTGATGACACACTCTCCCAAATCAAATCGAGGACTAGAAATATCTTCATCTCAATGTTCTGTAAAATCGCAAATACCTATTTCATACGCTACATAGCTATCAGCCCATATTACCGTAAACGTGATTTGTTTCAGGACATATCTAGAAGCCCAAACGCCCCCCCCCCCCCTAACCTCCCCTTTTCTATATTTGCGGTCTTTTACACCTTAAACTACGAGGCCTAGAGTCAGCAGTTCATAGTAAATTCGAGACACCGTACTTACAACCTAAATCACTTAAAGGACCAATTTGTCGGATTAAGAAAGTTTATTTTGCGATACATGGATCAGTTACAGTTAATTCGATATTTACGACCGCATTGGGCGGACTGTCCGACAGGTTGATCAACCGGTCAATGCGATGATAAGGCACAGCCTGACTTAGATAATGCAAGAGCCCTAGTTCTCGGAGCTTACTTATCAGGAACCGAGGTGCCAGTGACTTGCCTGGGCTCTACCAACTCAGCAGCCATAGACATTATTTAACTGTTAAATGCTGCTGTGTGCATCCATCGGCTTGATGTTGGCGTTTCCACATTGCGCGCTGTTTCACCGTCATCAAGTCTTATTAAAAACAATATGGAGAAAGCCGACGACAAAAGTGTTAGTGTCGATGTCGGCGCAGGAGAGGTTCGCTTAGTTCCTCCTCCAAGTAGACCACACCTTGAGCGCAAAGTGGGTGGCAAAGAAGTCCAGCTCTTCGCCATAGGAGGTGCTATTGGAACAAGTACGCTCACATACGAAATGTTGCTTCGATTCAGTGACTGATTCAGAGATTACAGGCGTATTCATTACCATGGGCTCGTATCTTCCAAACGGAGGACCGGCTGGACTGCTGATTGCGTACTGCATATGGTGCCTCAACGTATGGTGTGTCAACGAGACGTTCGCTGAGATGACGATCTATGCACCTGTACCAAGCGCTTTTATCACGTTCACGGCATATTGGGTGGACGAAGCACTTGCCTTTGCTCAGTCTTGGGCATTTTTCTTAGCACAGGCTCTCCTCGTTCCTTTCGAGATCACGGCCCTGCATATTCTGATCACATTTTGGACGGACAAGTTTCCTGTTGAGGCTACTGTGGTCATTTGTCTTGTTCTCTATGGTCTATTGAACCTTTTCAGCGTGGAATGGTTCGGTAAGGCCGAGTTTTACCTTAGCATTGGGAAAGTTTTCCTCATATTTATGTGTTTCGGCTTTACATTCTTCACGATGGTTGGTTGCAACCCGTTGCATGATGCATATGGATTTCGGTATTGGAACAATCGTAAGTGATCCATGAATCCTGGGTTACAATTTTATATAAACGCTGACACAAGTCTCCGCACCATAGCTGGGTCTTTCTCTGAGTACTTAACAACCGGATCACTCGGTAGCTTTTGGGGTGTATTAAGTTGCTTCACCTTAGCCACATTCGCCGTCTGCGGACCTGAGTATACCAGCTCTATTGCCGCAGAGACGAAGTCGCCCCGACGTATTCTCCCCACCTGTTTTGGTAGCTTCAAGTGGCGGTTGCTGTTCTTCTTCATCGGCTCAGCGCTCTGCACTGGCATCGTGATCCCTTACAATGACCCAACTCTTGCGGCCCTTATTGAAGGGTCCATCCCCGGTAGCGGCACCAGTGCCGCTTCACCGTACACCATTGCTATGGGACGGATGAATATAAACGGCTTGCCGCATCTCATCAATGCCGTGATGATGACATCTATCTTCAGCTGCGGTAATGGTGTGCTATTTGCATCATCACGCGCCCTTTTCGCCATGAGCCAATCTGGCCGTGCGCCAAAGATTTTCGCCAAGACAACCAAACGCGGCATCCCCATCTACGCCGTCTGCGCTGTAATGCTCATTGGATTGCTGGGTATGATGGGCGTTAATGCCAGTGCACTTGAGGTGTTGCATTACTTTGTCGACTTGTGCACCGTCTGTGGCCAGTTCAACTACATGTGCGTTTGCATCACGTACATCCACTTCTACCACAACATGAAACGACAAGGCGTCTCTCGCAGCACATTGCCCTACGTGTCACCATTTCAACCTTATGCGGCTTACATCGGTGCAACCTGCGCCATCCTTGCGATGGTACTTCTCGGATTTGATACAATACACCCTTTCGCCGTTAAATGGTTCTTCTTGGATTACACACTGTTGGCTGTGTTTCCTCTTGCAGCTGTCATGTGGAAGATTGTAAAGAAGAGTAAGTATGTTAGAATTGGTACAGCGGACCTAGGATTAGGTGGCATGGTTAAAGAAGTAGATGATTATGAGGATCTGGTGCAGCCGGAGCCGGAAGGCTGGATCGAGAGGCTATTTAGTGGCGTGTGGGAATGGGAGGACCTCAAAGCTGCTGTTTTGAAAAAGCATAAGAGTTGATATAGTAAGGGGTTTACATAGATAGCCCTCAGCATGTCATGTAGCATGACGTTAGTACAGACCATAGTGTGTAACGACCAACTGGACTGAGAGATTCGAGGTGCAGCATGAACTCTACAAGGATTCTGAACAATAAGAACACCATGGATTTTACATGAATATCGTGATAGAAGGGGTATCCCTTTCAAGCCCATGTCCCGTCAAACGATTTCAACGCAGTCTCGTCAGTGTCTTCTCCACGTATCTGCCAACACCATCGAGAAATGTCTCGTATCTCATCGTTATCTCCAAGTAGGAACCACCATTTCTTCAAGAACCACGGTCTCGCCTCCCAACTCCGCATATCCCACGGGACACCACCGCCACGCCCTGACGTGTGACCTTCAGCATTTCCCCAACATGTTAAGCCGCCTTGCGGCATGTCATTGATTAAGGATTGCTGATCAAGACGCCCGAGCCTAACTCTTCATTCAAAATCATCTCCCCTGAGCTCGGAGTTTCCCAACTCCCTGATTACACCTTCCACACCAAAACAATGCATCATCACTTCTGTCCCCATTGCGGAGTCCACTGCTTCCTGATTGTGAAGTTGAAGATTGGCGAGAAGGCGGTTCAGGAGGTTTTTATCAATGCTGGCACCTTGGATAGCAAAGCAAACGGTTCGAAGATTATCGAGTTGAGCAAACTCAAGTCCAAATACTTGGATGGCAAGGCTGAAGCTTGGTCGGATCCTCCTACCGACACACCATATGAAGGAGGCTTAGCATGATTACTGAAGTTGTGTTACGACAGGTTGGTATTTCTCCTGCCGACAGAAGCGGCTTGCAACACAACACCTTAGGAAGTTATGATTTAGTTCCAGGCATATACTTGGTGTTTCATTTCTTTCTGCTTTGTAGATAATCGAGTTGCACTGTTATACCACGCTAAGCTCCGTTTATGCCACTCCAAAACCCCTTGCTGCAAAACCATGTCCCCGAATTGATATCATGTTACCTATCTCTCCTTTTGGCCATGGCTTCCTTCACGATACCAATAGCCTCGTGTATCACATCGTCGCCTTTTCGCCATGTGTATAACTTCACACCATATTGGTCCAATGTGTCATGAGCACGCTCGAGTCTACGCCTCCACATGTCAAGTTTCTTGTTTATTGGGCCCGCATTGGGATTTCCACCACCTGGGTTTACTGTGAATCCGGCGGCTGGCAGGGCTTCCAACCCCTCTAGATCAGAACTCGAGTTTGTCCGTCGATGGGCGAGAAGCCGCGGGCTCATGGAGAGAATAGAGGATGGAGTGCCACGCCGCCGAGGTGGAGGGGGCGGGGGCTTCTCAGAGTCTGCATTTGTCGTAGACGTAGACTTCGCCGTATTTGATGACGCCTTTGAGGTGGGAGTGCTAGCAACCTCCCTTGTCTTGGGCAGACTATAGTTGCTGGAAAGTGTTGGATCGGAAGAATTCAACATCTGGGAAAGAGGATGCGTTGGACCAGTAGGCTTGCGACTGCCCGGTGGCGTCGGATCTGACTTGGCAGATATACCACTTCTAGCGACGGAAATCTCCGATGGGCTCCCTCTAAGAGCGGCTGGCTTAACGGGACGTGGCGGTGGTGTTTTGCGATTCAGAAGGTCGACCGCACTGTTGTTGGGCTTGAGAGCCGTATTTCCCATGAGCTGTGCAAGGTTCTGCGATTCACTCGTCGTCATCTCTTCAGGCTCGTCGGAAAAGTCAATTAATGTCCCCATTACGGGGCCATCAGTCTTTGCGGGCTCAGTTCGAAGCCGTGGAGGTAGATTAGGTCGTTGAGAAGGATCGTCTTCCTTGCTATCGCCTGAGTTGACTCTGATTCTACTACTAGCAGTCTTCGTACGTCTCGGAGCTGGGTCAAATCCAGCATCGAAGTAACCGGCTTTTTCAGGCGTGGTGACATCCCGAATGAAGACGGCGAGGATTCTCTTAGGGTTCGCAACTACTAAGTCGGTGTACACCTCCAGATCAGCTTCGCCACTGTCGCCAACGAGAAGAAACTTCCTTTCCGGGAAATCGCGTAGAATCTTTTCGAGTGTGCCCTTCTTTCTTTCCGCGACAGGTTCGAAAATGCCTTGCAACATGCCACTATATTGCTTGAGGTGAAGTGACCCTGGTGGGAGTCCCGCAGTTTTGAAGAATGTCGCAATGACCGGGAACAACTGCCATGGACTATTCGAGCAGTAGTGAAGACTGACACCCATGTCATGGAGAGCTCCATACCATTCCCTCACGCCTTCAACCGTGAGGTCGGCAAGATCTCGGATGAAAGTGTTGCGAAATATTTCTCTGGCACCTAGCGAAATACTAGACTTTTTGATCGTGTCATCGATATCGCTGATGAGACTAATGCCCGTGTTTTCGATGATCTGGACCGGCTCCGTAGCTGATAGAGTCTCATTTGCGAGTACGCGAACATGGGTTGGAACAAAATCTAAAGCCGCTCGTACTGAAAAGTGGCCCGCGTCACTCGTTGTGACAGTCCTGGATGCGCTTGTTTCATCGTTATAGAAAAAGATGGTGATGGGAAGTTGGACTAATGGTGTTGTCATGAAAGGTCCAAGGCGGGCCATGAGGTTTGCATTTGCGACCGCAAGCTCCTGCTCGGTAAGTTCTGCCACGGCGTTGGCAGAAGGTCTTGCTGAAAGAGTTGGCGAGGATGGTGCAGATAGTGGCGTGCGAGCTCCGCTCCGTGTTCTTCGAGGCGAGTATCGTCCAGAGTCGGCGTCCGAGTCATCCTCTCTAGGTTCCTCGCTGTAGCTTCCCTTCACGGCGGCTTCTTTCTCAGCCTGTCCTTTCCTTTCGATCTGCTCAGCTTCTCGAGCAATCTTTTGTTGTTCCCGGAGATCTTCATGATCCTCGTGCAGCGTGGTCATAGACTCGGGCCCACTGGTCGTTGGGGCAGGGATGCCACTGAGTCTCCTTGCAAGCCCGACCAGAACTCGATTCCTCCGGGTCATGGCACCCTTCTGCGGAGAGTAGACCCAGCCGCGAACATCGACATCAGTTATAGCCTTCTTATCCTCCATCCTAGCCCATTCATGTCGCCAATAGTCTTCGTCGTTCATATTTGCCTGTGTTGACGTGGTTGTAGTCGATCGACCATTGTCATCGAACTGCCTGATGTGTCTTTTTGCGTAAGATGGGAAAAGCACCATCTGCTCGTCTCCCTTGACCACGATGGCAACATCAGGGAACGAGCCGGGTATAGTGATCTTGGACGCTGACTCGTCTATGTTTACCACGCCGCGTATTCTTGTATTGCTGTATTGATCTCGAATCTCTGATGCAGCAGCAACTCCCGCCCGGTATACGCTGCCCGCCATGGCCGCGATCTTCTTCCGCCGGGCACCACGCTCTCGCTCATACGGCTCTCCATATTCTGACGCGCCGCTTGGATTTCCCCCACCTTGATATCCCCATTGTGACATGTTCTTCTCTTCCACCTCTTTTGTCCCCTTTACATCCTTCTTGCGGCCCTGCCTCCTGCGCGTCGTCCGCGAAACCGGCCCGAGCAGCAGGCGGCGACTGTGCCGGGCTACAAGGTCGACGAGCCTTGTTTGCTCGCGGCGCTTGCGCTGGCGGTCGACAAGGTACCGATAGATGCGAGACTGAAGCCGGTTCTTATAGTATGGGAGGGTATCGAGGCGGAAGTTGAGGAGTCGCTCGCGGTAGTGCTCGCGGACGGCGTGAGGAAACAGATAGCGAAAGAGGCTCTGCTTATGATGCGGGTGGCCGAAGCGGCGGAAGGGTCTGAATGGAGCCACCTTGTCCTACACTTTCCACCACGGAGCTCCTCCGCTTGCGTCCGACAGGCGTAGTATATACGATACAGAGGAAGAGGCTGATAGAGGCTACTGGTGCGATAGTATTCACGGCGGTGACTAAGGCAGCTGAGCAAGGGCTTGTGACCCCGCGGTCAAGTTTTAACACAGCTGGGGCGCGCGTGGAGTGGAGGAATGCTTCTAACGCATGATATGTAGAGATCAAGCTGCTACAGAATATCATTGATTGACAGTTGTTCCAAATCAGCGTCACGAGGGTGGTCGACGGTGATCGTAGTGTAGCTCGTGGTGCCAAGGTCAACTTCGTTTGGCTGTCTGTGATGGAGCTCTGGAGAGATGCCTGGGTCTAGAATCGGGATGCTATGGGGCCGGGACGTCGTTACGTCACATTTTAGAGCGGTTATTTTCTCCAAGGCACTGCCTCCACGCCTCTCTTCGAGCCACAATCAATGACTGGACATTCCCATGAGGTAAGGTAAGTTTCGTCAACCCAATCAAGCTGTTTTCATCTCTAAATGTCTTTTCCATGTTATCCCGCAAGAAACTCGCCCAAGAAGATATTACAGTCTAAGCCCACTGCTAATGCACTTTTCGTGTATCATCCAGTATTAACCGGTGCATGAGAACTTTTCACGGCAAATACATCTTGCAACTCGGAATCTGTATCAAGTCGGATTGATGCCACTGTTTAAGTAACAATACTTGTATCCTCCCGGAGTAACGCTGCGCTCATGACAATGGTGTCAAGAAGTTTAGCTCTTGTCCTTGCCTGCATTCTACGACTAGAAAGTATCTGTAAAGATGTCTACACAGACTATCCGCACGCCACTCAGTGGCAATATCTAGGTTCTCGATGGAAGAACGGGGAGCTTTTTATTTGTGGCTTTGCAATAGCTTGACTACCGCCTCATGTCTTAGCGCGGCAGCGCGGTCAAGTGCCGTCCGACGTAGGTAATCCTCCGCATGGATGTCTGCTCCCTTCTCCAAAAGTAGTCTGACAATATCCGTGTGGCCATTCATAGCAGCTAGCAGTAGTGGAGTTCGTCTTGCAATGTTTCTTGACTCGACATTAGCACCACGCTCAAGCAATAGCTTGACCAACGCTATATTCCCAGCCTCAGTTGCAATTGATAATGGCTTTGTAACGGTGTCGCCCGTCTCGATATCAGCACCATGCTCAAGCAATAG